CAAATGCTGCTGACTAATCTTTAACACGTAGGTTTTGAGAGAGAGAGAGTTCAAATTTTCCCTTTTGATCAAACTTGTTTTACCCCAAAGACTGTTGGCTTTAAAATGTTATCACTACTGAAGAGCTTAATAAATTCAAAATCAAAGCTTAATTACTAGTTTCATATGYAAACTAACAATCAGATTTAACTCAGAACTATTACCAATTTCCCTGCTGACCTCTTTTTGTTTTTACAACCAACACAATGTATTGGTAGGTTCGAGTTTTATCATTATCGTTTCTTTTCTTTAAATCATGAGGAAGAATAATTAAAGACACCAGAAAGTTACAGTTAATGCTGAATTATTACTATTTCAGTTTTCAAACCCTGTCTGAAACCATTCAATGTACTGTAAATAAAAAAATAAGGTTTATTCAGCCAGAAATGTTTTGTCTTAAGCATGCAATCTCAGCCACTCTCCAGCTACTTTGTACTCTCTGTCTTTTTAGGGACACAACATTCTTATTATTCTATTATATTTCAAGGTGTTTGTCTAACGGTTTAGTCTGCTGACACAGATGTCATTTAAGCTGTCTGTCTTTCAAGGCCCTTTCAACAGTCACCCCTCTACCTAAAAACCGCATCCATGTTTTACTTACCAGGCCTAAAATTTTTCCTATAACATACAACACTCTAATACTTACAAAAAAGGGATAGAAAGAGAAAGAGTTTGACTCCTGGATTTTTTCCCAATGCACCCGTATCTGACCTCAAAAAAGAATTTCTATTTATACGGAATCCGCCACCAGCAAATCACAAAATAAGACGCATGGATTTTTCCTTCCCATGGGCACTTCTAACTGCCCTTTAGGCACACCACCACATAATCTTATCTTGACCCCACCTAGACAAGTGTCGTCTTTTACAGAAGACGCACCCAGGTTTTTCGGAAAGAGCTCATGAAAAGGCCTGACGAAAGAGTAATATATTTACACACAAAATGCACCAAAACATATATTAAAACACATTTTACTTCCCAAAGGGCCCAATTTATTGTATGGTTTTAAACCCCCACAGACTGTTATGTTCAAACGCTTTTAACCCGTCTTTGTAACCGTCCACACTAATCCGCATTTGTTTTGACTACGCCCAATACCACACTTTCTTTGCTGAGCTGACACACAGGCTTAGCTTAGCAAAGCTAACACTTAGCGGGGCTCCCCTAACCCCCAGCCCCACGCGCCAGCCGGTGGAAAAACAGATCGTCGGTCCGTCCTGTCTGTTTATCAAAATGGAAAGCAAAAAATGATTTTGCTCACCTGTTGTCTGGCGCGCAGAACCTAGGACGACCTGGCTCCCCCCACCCCCACCCCCGCTAGGCGCACCAGCCAATAGAACAAGGCAGCTCCTGCCTCGACTTGCAGTCCGCGTCAGGGTCACCATAACTGTAAGAAAACTTGTATTCAATAAACTGAAGTTGAGATGATAAACACAAATGTTAAATAAAATGATTTGTAGGAGGAATGAAACCATACAACACCAGAACTCTGGAATCTGAGTGGAGGTTTATTCTGCGCCTGCAGACAGGAAACCCACACTGCCCATAAAAACAGGAAGTTCATGTATTTATACAGTTTCTTCAATGCCTTCGCTCGCCCCCTGCTGACCTACGGCTGAGTCACAGGCATTCAGACAAAATTCTCAGCTAATGTCATTCAAACGTTTAATTATGTGTTGTAAAAGATGTTTCGGACATGTAACTATACCTATTTCAATCAAGACATAATAGATTAAACACTGTCAACATTACAAAAAGGAGAACTTAAGAATATAGTGTTGTGCTTTTAACATCAGTACTAATCTCCCTAACTCTAAATTTCTTCACAAGTTTACTAATAATAGTTCATAATTAATC